AAAAGGGGGAAAAAAAAAAAAAAAAAAAAAAAAAAAAAAAAAAAAACACATCATAGTAAAATTAATACCTTCTCCGCTTCGCATCGAAGCTAAAAACATAATGTTTAAACAAAAAATAATAAATTTATAAACATTTAACATTGTGTAATATAAAAACAAAAATTTTTAATTTGATAAAAATAACATGTTTCCTACATGATTGAAATGTAATTTTATTTTATTTTTAAAATTTATTTGTCTTTATTTACAACATATTTAATTTAAAAATGGTAAAAATTTTAAAGATATTTTTGAGAACCATGAATTTCTTTCAACAACTTAGTATCTGATTTTAAAGTTTGAAACATTTCATTACAGTTTTCATCAAAGTTAGTAAGAACTAACATTACTGATTTCAATGTTGAAACATGTAATTGAGATTTTTCGGATGTCCAACATTTGTTTATTTGTGAAAATAATCTTTCTATAGGTGCACTTGTACCTGGAAGACTTAATACAAATTGGCACACTATTTCTAATTGTTTTACTGGAATTTCTTTATTTTTCATAAAATTAAAAAAATCTAGCCAACGTCCTTCAGATGAAGTACTATTTTCATTCCATTCAGACATTTTTTCTGAATTCATAAATATTTTTAATTGACCTATTTCATCAAAAAGTAAGTCTTTATTTAATTTTTCTCCAATTGAATTTTTAAAAGTATCACAAGAAAGTAATACTGATTTCCAAATAATTGGGTCTCGCAAACATATCCAAGAGAATAACTTTAAATCATTCATATTAGTTGACCATTTATTCAAATAATTTATACAATCATTATAAAATTCTTTAGCTTGAAATGAAAAATTTTCATAGTAATTGTTTTGTAGTTTTGATAATGATTCTCTCACTCTGGTTGGTAAAAATATTTCTTTTTCTCTGTGGGTTAAAGTATCAATAAGTTTAAAATACTCTAATGTTGCTTCAGTGGCACATATTTTATCACCTTCAACATTTAAAATACTTTGATGAAATAAAAATGAATTGTTGTGGACAAACCAAAACCAAATTTCTCCTAAAGGATTTTCAAAGAATTCTTTTAATATTGTAGGACATTCTACTGAGGCAAAATATTCTTTTAGTGGCTTAAACATTTGTAAAATTCGTTCTACTGCAGGCATCAGGCTTAAGAATCTTGTTTTTGAAAAAGTTAACATTTTTCTGTACTCCACTTCTACGGTATCACAAAAGTCCTTTAATGAACTAACTCTAACAGTATAAATGTAAAAATATTTATAAATTTTTACTACAATCACTTCAATATCAAAAGGTAAAATGTCGGTTGCATTTTGAATACAATTATTCAGAATATGTGCCACACATCCAACACCAACAATGGACGAAGAACATGAATTTTGTAATTTTTTGAATAAATTATTTTTCCCTAATCTATTTGAACCGCCAAAATTGGTGTTAGTATTATCTGCAGATAATCCTATACATTTAGATACAATACTTAGTTTGGTTAATGAATTAAAAACATATTCGTTTAATATTTCATACGTTTCTCCAGGTAATGCTTTAAGTTCTAATAATTTAATTTGTACTCCTTTTTTTGGACTAAAATATCTCACAAGCAAGGGAACAATTTTAATTTCTTTGTGATTAGATGAATCAATCATAATGCTAAAATACATAGCGTTTTGTAAAGCTGTGTTCAATCTTACTTCAGCTTCTTTGGCAAATACATTATTGATTATGCATTCAGCTTTGGTTCTACCCAAAGCAAATTTCGGTACAAATAATGTAGAGACTAATTTAGAAGTGCAATCTAACGATCTAAAACTTTGCATATGTTTAATAGTATGATAAGCTAAAGTACCTTCTTTAGCGGCAAGTAGCAAATTTTCAGTAGTAAGATCATTATTTTTAAAAAAGTGATCTATCTTTTGACTTGATGAAGCAGCATTTAAGCCTAGTTGATGTTTTTTTTTATTTATATGATTCTTTATATTGCTGCGACCACTATTTGATATATCAAATTCACATTTACACACCTCACAGAACACAATATGAGGAGATATTGAAGTGGGTTTTATAAAAGTAAACTCACTCTGAAGATTTGAATTGAACACACATTTTCTACGCGGTGGGCTCATTGTGCAAATATTTAAAACTACCGCCGTTTGCCATTCGAACCATTTGGTATCTATTAGTCGAATTACTAAGAATAAGCCGGGTTCAGAATATACCATGTTCGTGTTAAGTGAAATCCTTTTCTCTGATAATAGTTCAGACACGGTTTAATTGTTATATTCTGTAATGCGATAGTCACTATCACTGATAAAACAGAACGCAGCACAATTTTATTTTGATAACAACTTAATTTATCACACTATATAAAACTGTAAAATACTTTTTTTTATAAATATTCGTTTTAAGTTAATTAAGAGTACATTTGTATGTACTTTACACAAGTATTAAGGACAATAGGACAAGGCATCAAAAAAGAGTACTGTCCTACAAAAAAGAGTACGTCTGGTCACCATAATTATGACACGTTCTGTTAGTTAAAAATAGGCTATGAACCCCCTAAAATGTGCCATTGATCTAATATGTAGTTACTTACAAACAAAAGTATAAACACCATGGCAGATATACATGAGAAATATGAATGACAAAATAGACTAAGTGGCGTCTCGTGGGTGGGTGCTGGTGGTGGGTGTGTGACTTTAAATATAATACCGCTAGATAAAGGTATAAAAAATCGTCAAATTAAATATAATAAAATAAAATACAATTCATATATTATTTTAAAGGTCGCAGTAGAAAATAGAAATGAAAATAATAATAATAGCGATTATACTATTATAACAACCGATAACGACATGCAGTCAGTTCTAAATATAAATTACCCAATATAGTAGTATAATAATGTTTTATTGTATAAATGACGCTGCCGATCATACAAAACTCGTACATAACATCGTAGCCATACAGTACTCGCACGCAAACCATTAGCGCCTCTCTAGTAGTATACGTTTCTGCTAATCGTTAAGTGTATGTTTCGTACCTTCGTGAAGTTGTGAGCAAAGTTGAAAATAAATATACTTCGACTTAAAAGGTATGCCAGTCCACTTACTGCACTTGTTGAAAAATCATAAGGTGAAGAAGGAGTGAGTTGAAGTATCAGTTTTTATGCCGTTTTATATTAAATTTAACCCATCTATATCCTTATAAGAAATAAATATAGTTTGTATTTTATATAAGTTTTAAATATTATTGTGCCCTTCATTTCTGGACAGCCTTTAGATGTACCGAGAAGAGTGAAAAAAAGTAATTTATGATTAGAATTAATTAGTATTAGTAGTAATACCTTTGCCCGTGTACTCGCCAGTCATAAGATATATGCCAATTACCTCTCGGTAACGTGTAGGCAGTTGGCGCAAAAGATAGTAAAAGATCAATTAGAGATAATATGAGATTAATTCAGTCAACTACGAAAGAAAATAAAGGGAAGTGCAAATGTTCATTTGCATGCTTTTTTTCTTAAAAATTCACTTAGTGAGGTAGGGATATTTTATTATTTGATGACTCAACAAATATCGACCCCCAGATACTCTTTAACCTCATACTTCATCCTTACCATTCCACCATTATTAATATTACATTATTTTTAATTTATCACATATTTCAACAATTGGTGAATAATTTGTTTAATAATAATTTGTCTACTTTTCAGCAACTATTTATTCATTAACTAATTTAATTTTTATACTATACAATTTTTTTATATTTATGAAGTTATTTAACTACTAGTCTTCTATAATGTATGTGGTCTGAAACATAAAAAATAAAAGGAGAAAAATTAATATCTGTCTAAATTCATTATACTATTTAAGTTTAATTTTTTTAATTTATTTTTTTCAAATAACTTATTGTTATGTATAAATGAAACGCATAAATGTAATCATTTATAAATTAAAAATAAACTAATATTAGCTGCCTATAATTTATAAAAAATATATTATTAGTAATTTATTTACAGAAAAATGTAACAACAGTTTATTTGATTTAAAAAGTCCACGTATGTCAAAAATTATGTTGTAATGATTTTTTCTCTTCAGCATATCTACATTAGATTTTCACTCGTAGTTTTTTGTAATTTTCTTCGACATGATTTTAATTAGTTATGCATTGTTGTTAATTTGTTTAGCTAAAATCTGTACGTGTGAGCAAATTGATGTGGAAAATATAACACATGAAGTCGCAAAAAAACATATAGATAAACACAAGGCATTGTTACCTTTGAAACTACGGGATTTTTCTGTATATAATTGTCCTAAAGTTTCAGTCAAAAACATCGATGACTTCGACCTAAATGACAAGATTGATAAACCTGTACCTTTGAATGAACCATATCTAGGTTCAGCCCCTCATTTAATATACCGCACGCCTATTGTTGGAAGAACCTTACGAGAAATTACTGATCAAGCCATACAACAATATAACGATCCAATGGAAGCCATAGTTTGGCTTAGAAATGTTATTGAAAGCATTGGAATAACAATGTTATTTCAATATAGTCAATTCACAGCAAAAACGATTAAAAACATACTAAATGATCACGAGAAGTTTATTGATCATTATAATAAGGCCACAACTTTGTTCTTTTTTCTATCAAAAAAATTTAGTGATTATCGTTTACGTCAAGATCCGATTAATCTAATAACTTTAATGTTTAACGCATATAACCAATCTCAAAAACTGATGAATGATAAAAAACAATTTATTCATCTTAGCAATGTTTTTAAGGCACGTTTTACAGGCTGTATGAGTTTGGTAATGATGCCAAAAGATCTATATATATACAAAATTTTTAGTGAACTCCGAAGCAGTAATTTAACTAAATTAAAATCTACACATGATTTACCAAGTTATTTAAAGATACAACAGGATATGTTCTATTCTTTTATAGAATGTCATGAAAAAATGTTAAAAGGTAAATAGAAGAATACATTATCGTATTTTAATGTTATATAGTTTATCAGAAAATACTTTCAGTATGACTAATGAATTTTTTTTTCTTTTATTTTTTCAGGAAATACTAATGAGGTAAATTTAAAATTATCTTTATGAATATCTAAAAACTGTATTTTTTGTTATTTAATAATTTCAAATAATTTTTTTTTTCATATATATTAATGTATCATGAATTAAACGCAAGTTAACTTAACAATTTTGTTCAAGTTGAGCAGCTCAACTATATGTTATAACGCTATAATTTTTATATAATTAATGAATAATAATTTATTATACTCAATTAAAATTCCTGTAGTTAAGGCATTGATTATAAATGTTATAAAGAATATAATAAATAGTTAAATGAATAATTATTTACAAATATTGTAAGATTTAATTTGTAACTCTTTTTTTTTTTATAAAAGTAGTGTAATAGTTTCTATACTTATAATTAGCTAATAATATGTAAAAATGTATTCGCTTCAACGTGATACTAGAATGATTAATTTTTTTGTAATAAATTTTTATTATTAAAATATGTATTTGTAATTCTATATTATCACCAAAGTTTTCTGTGAGGTTTTTTTAACTATATTGTATTTTTGTATACTAATTTATTTGAAAAAGTCAACAGAAAAATGACAGCTTTTTTTTATTAAGAAATAAATGGTTTTGTTTATACTATTAATATTAAACCAATTAAACGTTAATTTTTTTTATTTGTTACGAAATATAAATAATGCTAAAAATATAATACTTATAAAGCAAAAAACCTAAAATAATTTCGTAAAGAAACAAAATATGTTTAAAATATAAAGAAAATGATTGTTTTACTAATTTTTTACACTCTTAAATGTAATATTCTTTCCGTCTAGAAAATCATAAAAATACATATAGTATCAATACTCTCAACTGAATCGAATGAATGATCCAAAATAATTTTTTTTTATATACAGGGTGNTATATATACACCTTATGTATTTCTTTTTTATTTAATATAACATTTTTGAATATCTCACCCTTTATCTGCTCATAAGATGATTAAAAAACAGAAACTTTTGTACTTAAAGTTAATTTTTTCATCTTAACTTTTAAAAGTATTCCAGAAATACTGTATCATATAAATATGTTTTGAATTAAAGTTTATGTTACACACTATAAGTTTAAAAAAATATTGTCCTGACACCTTATCTTTTATGAATAAATAACTGTCAAAGTTAAACAAAAAAATGCAATTTTAATGTAAATATCATCTTCTATTGTATTGTACATCTTTCATTTGACATACTTTTTTTTTAATCGTACCATTTCCATTTTATACATATAAAAAGTATAATTTTTTCAACTTAACTTCTATGTGCAAATGATTGTCGTAGATAAATAACTTTTTCTTTTTGAATTGAATTTTTTTTTAAATTTTGTACATTTTCCAAAGTGAAGAAAAAAAGAACGGTTCCCCTCTAAAAAAATTCAATGTGAAATAGTCTCTTTACACATTTTGTTTTTAATTTAACACCGTCATTACTTTTTAAAAAATGTACAACTAGACGATTTTAGCTTTGATGAGAAGCTGAGAAGGTATTAATTTTATCATGATGTGTTTTTTTTATTTTTATATCTGTTGCCACTTTTTCTCACCTCTCATTAGACCGATTTCTTTCAACAACACGTCAAAAGATCACAAATCATTACTAGTAGAAGACATTACCCTTAAAAAGTAAAATATTTTGATATGCGGGAAATCTCCAAAAAAATTACAAATTTAAAAATCGGTAAATTTTGTCATTTTTTTAAATTTTTTTTCTTAAAACTTCCATAACTTTTTCAAAAACCAACAAATCAACATAATTTTTTTTATATTAAAATTTTAGATATTTCCTTTTTATTTGATATCATTTTTTTTGAAAATCTATTACTTAACCTGCTCACTGGGGGATTTAAAATAGCAACTTTTTTACAAAAACTAACTTTTTCAACTTAATTTTTGAAAATGTTTCGGAAATACTGTCGTCCTTTAAACATATATCAAATCAAAGGTTATGTCATATACTATAAAATGAAAAAAAAAATTTGTGCCGACACCTTATCTTCTATGTGTAAATGGCTGCCGAATTCAACAAAAAATGAAATGTTTGCGATAAAAATCACCTTCTATGGGGATGTTTTTTGTACTTAAAACTGCCATAACTTTTTCAAATGTTAACAAATCAAAATAATATTTTTATATATTGAAACCTTAAGTAATTTCCTTTCATTTGATATCATTTTTTTTTTAACCAACACTTATTCTATTCACAGGGGGCTATTTAAAACATCCCGATCCCTTCCTTCTCAGAAGTCAAATATCTTGATCTTATCCTCGACAGTAAACTTACCTGGAATCCTCACCTAAAAGCCAAACGAAAAGCCCTTAATACTAGACTCCACCTCCTTAGACCCTTACTGAAATCCAAAATTAAATTATATACCAAACTACTAATTTATATGTCCTTACTCAATGGACTTATGGCGTTCAACTATGGGGTGCCGCTAAACCCTCAAACACCCGCACAATCCATTCTTTTCTATCAATATGCCTTTGCCTAGTTACATCTGCACCATGGTACTTAACCAGCAATAATCTCCACAAAGACCTTAAAATCCAAAATCTTAACCAAATCTCCAAACTATACTACACCAGACTTCACAACAAATTTCAACAGCACAAAAACCCACTAGTCTTTAAATTATCAACGAGCACACTCCTTGATATCCTGCACCGTAGACTTAAAAGGAAATGGTGTAGAGACCTTATTCTGTAGTAAGCGAGCTTAATAAATGTTGATGGTCCCTATCAGGCACCACCTCGAACTTTAAATAAATCTTTTTCTTTGTTCAAATCTTATCACTGACACTTTTAGGGTGTTACCACTGAGTAACCTCCCTAATCTCATGATTCATGTTATCTTATTTTTTATTGTAATTTATCAAACCTACTTATTATACACAGATTATGTATAACTATCTTAAATATCTCAGATTAAGATAACTATCTTAAATAAATAAAAAAATAAAAATAAAAACTCTAATTTAGTATTCTACTATTATTCTATAATATTCAAAATATGTTAGTAACATGTTATTTAATACATCATATTTAAAAAAAAAATGATTTTGGATTTCACGTGAATTTAACAATGGATTTTTACAATTATAATCAATTTTTATAACACGTTCAATTGAGTAAATTTTTCAACATCTCTTACATTATTCATTTTATATTTTGAAGCGAAACTAAGAAGGTATTGGTCTTTTGATGCTGTAATAAACTAAAGAATTTTTATGGATTTCAGAATTTTCAATCTAATATATTAGAAAAGAGACAATTTTAAGTGTTTCTGTTTTTATTTATCCTTATAAGGCTAAAATAATTAATATTAGAAAAATTGATTAAGTTAAACTCGAAACATTGTTATTGATTACTAGCGGCTAAATTTTTTACTAAATTAAAAGCTACATATATTAATCAAATCCAACACCACAAAAAAACAATGTTTTCATCATCAGCGACGAACTGATACTAGTGTCGGTTTGGCATTAAGTTTGATATGAAAAGCATCAAAACAATAAAATAATTGTTATATCTAGAAATAAAATTTATTTAATTTGTATCAATTATCATTAATTTATTCAACAACCAATATAAGCAATAAAAAATGTTCTTAATAATTTTTAAATAACATAAATCAACTTTTTAAACATTAATTTAATAATAAATCAATGAAATATTTTCAAATTAATTTGTTGAAAATAACTAAAAGCATTTGATTTTTTATAATAATTATTTATTATAGAATACAATATAACAAATATTTCGAGTTAACAATTCTAAGAAATAAAGTATATTTACTTATTTTTGATCAACAAAATAAATTCAAGATTAATTTAATGTAGTATTTACAGTAAAAATATTAAACATAAAACTAAAATCATTAAAAAATTGAATTCAAGTTATACAAATCAAGCGCATAAAAAAAAATTATATGTTTTATAATGATATGTATATAATGAGAATACAACTTTTCAGTAAAATATGTCATCCGACAGCATGTTGCGGCAAAAATTTAAGAATTATGAGGTATTTATATTTATTCGAAAATCGGTAGTATGTTTAACGTGAAAATTAGAATATTTCAAAATTTGTATGTGTCTTTTATCGGTATAATGTCAATAACTAGAAAAAATCAAAATTCAAAGCAGTACTTAATCGAAAAATAGTGAAAGTAGATTGGATTAATATTTAACAATAATAGTAATCAGCTGATTCTGGATACTTCAAGAATTTTTTATTAGTGTAAAGTTTATTGTCGTTGGATAAGTATTTAGTGTTCATATTGAAAAAGCGGCCGAAAAACGCAGTGATGGAATCGTGTCTATTGTCAATATAATTATGCTGAATTTCCATGTTTAGATCGAATAGTTTGCCAAATTGTATCAACTAGAAAATTAATTGATCGACATTAACTACAATTATGATTTACTTATGGAAATTTAAATCATTTACCTCGTTTCGACCTGTAGTTTTAGGTATGTGGAGTGCTACATTAGGAGCAATGCTTCTCAACAGGTCGAAGAGTTTTTTACCGCCTCCTTCGTAGTTGCTACACATATGCTTTTCGAGACTGTAAACTTTGTGTTCCTTATACGNTAGTTCTAGTTGCCGAATTTTTGTTGTTATAATTTTCACGTCGTAAATTTCCATTCACTTTAGTCTTTTCCAGGTCTTCTGGAGTAAAAACTTCAGTTTTTTTACATAGCAACGCACTGTTAGTGTTAGATGTTATAATATTTTCTGTTAATTTTTTAGACTGTATTCTATTAAGTTTGAGTGAATTTTCTATTAAGGTATTGTTTTCTTGATTTGTTGTAATAATATTTCCTGGCACTATATCAAATGGTTGTGTTGAATTATTGTTTTTTGACTGTATTAAATCTGAGTTAAAAGAATTATCAGATTTTACAGAAATCCTTGTAGGAGTGTTTGTGGTCTCTTTTTCAATTTCAGTTTTCGTAACAATTTCTGGGTTTAGTTTTTTGACGGGTTCTATTTCATTATTCGTTAATAAAATGTTCGTATTAGTGTTTGAGGGCTCTTTTTCGGTTTCAATTATCGGAGTTCCCGTAAATTTATCTTCTATGAGCGGTTCTTCTAAAATTGAATTTTTTGTCAAAATAGGCGTTTCCAAATTAACAGGATGTGTAGTCAAAACTGGGCAGTGATTATTCATAATGGATTTTACTGGTTTAGTTGAAGTAGTTTTCTTCTTAAAAAGTTTCATCTCCAAAAAAGTCTGCAGCGACACAACTGCCAATGCAATAAACATAATATCTCTGATTACTTGAAATGGAATTATAAAATATATCACCAACGTTGTTATAACGAAAAACAAATGCGAATCCATATTTTTTTATAAATATATAAACAAAAAACTTAAAAAATTTTAGATATACTTAGAGAAAAANAACAGAAAACTTAAAAAATTTTAGATATACTTAGAGAAAAATGTAACAGATAAAGTGTTTAAAGAATATACGTACTCATTTATCACAAAAAATAACTAAAGCAAAAATCACCAAACGGTGTCGATTTAAACAGCATTTTTTATCCTATTTATACAAAAAAAATTTGACTTTTTTCATATTATTTCAGCCAATTAATATAACAAAACATTTCTTCAATTGGCCAACAATTAAAACATTTAATTATCAAAATGTGTTATTTTGAATTACAAGTCTGCAACGATTGGCCTCAATGAGTAGCATTGATTTTATAGTTAAGGTCTACAACCAACATCTTCTTTTCTAATGAAATTATATAAAAACATTTCGACTTATCAATTTCTCTTTACATATTTAAATAAATATTTACAATTTTTTTAAAACTCCTGTGAAATTCAAATGGAAGTATTTATTATTATTTTTATCTTTTTTACATTTACATTCTACATTTTAAGTTTCTTTTTAACAAACTGTTTATCTGTTTTCAAATAGCTTTAAATTAATTTTGCAATGCTTTTTACAAAATTATTTGAATTATTGAATTTTAAAACTTATAATTACAATAAATTAGAACACTGAACATATGGAAATAAAATAGAACTACAAATAAAATGTCAAATCATAAATGACCATGGTAGTTATTTTGCCTAAGTACGCCGTTTCTAATAAGTTAAATTTTTTTTTAGAATGTAAAATATAAAAAATTACTTTAATTTAAATCAAATAAGCAAATTTAGTGTTTTAGTTGATTGTGGCGCTTGTCACAATTTATTTTTATGATTTTATTGTAACGTTTATTTGTTTTGTAAAACTAAGTATTTTTAATTTAAATTCATAATGTGAATAAACTCAAGACAGATATTTATTGGTAATGTTTTGAATACCTCATTTACAACATAAAAAATAAATAAATTTGTATTTAAACATTATACTTTGAATAAATTTACGAAAAATAAGTTTTATTTTATTCAAAATATATTGTATTTGAAACAATATCATTTTCATAACAATTTTTTGCAAAAAAATATCAGGTTGAAAAATAATTTATGATTACGTCTTAATTGCATTATTTTATATAATAATCGTTTTGTTTTGTACTAAGTGAATCGAATCAATTAACCAAAATCAATATAACTATATAAAAAACAAAATAGTAAGACAAAAATATGTCTAAATTAATTTTTATTTTAGTTTCTGCGTCTCGTCGTACAATTCACTTCTAAAAAATATACCATAAATGAAAATTTTTAATGTGTAAGACTTGTTAGATCGATCTAAGGACCGATCTAAATAATGAAACCAGCATTTTTATTCATAACAGTTTATTACAGAAA